CACACACACACACACAGCGGTGTGGACAGGTACATTCCCACATTCCTGTCCCCTCTTAATTAACAAGGAGTCGGGGAGGCTCATGACAAATAATGAAATGTTGTTAATCATTCCTAATAAGAGCCACAAGATTTTAATTATGGCCATTCATAACTCCACAAACAACCTGTGACCGAAAGGAGCTCCTTAATATTCAGCAGCTTGTAAGTGCAGAGCCAGGGGAGCCAACCAATTGTCTCCTTTGGATAAATCAGGGCTGTGAAGTAACGGGGTAACCGTCCAATAAGAGGAGAGCTGAGCAGTATGTGTGTTAATTTTATATATATTGTGATTCATTTTCTCATTATATTGCATAAAGTAATTTCTGAGTCAGAGAAAACTACACTTATGAATTTTCTTTATAATGTGAAGTGTGCACATTTACGCATAAAATAAACAGGGTAAATTTTGATGTCTTGAACTGTTAAAAAAATCTATGTTTTTTATAAATTTCATTTCTGTGAGTCATTAAATCATGCATTAAGGCTGGCACAGTAAATGTTAACGCCTTAACGAATTAGTTTTTTTTAACGCATTTATTGTATTTGACATTATAACAGTTTATGTAATTTATCTAGATAGAATGTTTAACAATTTATTGAACTGATTTTTTAAATATGACATGCATCGCAGTGTATATCATATCACGATGGAGTTTGTGTTAAGTGTCTTCTTTTGGAGACAGACGGCAATATATCACTTACTCACATCTGGACAGATGGAATGGAGTTTCGTGAAAAAGGCAAGTGGCATAGGACTGGGGAAATTTTGAGAGGAAGAAGGGGGAGAGTTAGTAAAAGTGGAGGGAAATAGGGAGAAGAGGGTGTTGAAAGACAGAAAAAGAGGGAGGAATGGGCGAACGAACTGCTGCGTCGTCAGAACGATAAATGGGAGGAAATTATCTAACATCCCCAATCGCCTCTCAGTCAAAACAAATGGGCGATGTGATGGAGATACGGGGCTACTGAACCCTCCCGTTGACCCCTTTCAATGCTAACACTGTTGTTTATGACCTCCTCAATGCATTATGACAACGGCTAAACATCCGCTATAATCATGGGATGGTTCTTCTGAAGTTTTCTGATGGCCAGAGGTGAAAAACCGGACCCCGAGGGTAACGCGTTTGTGTGTATGCGTGGGTTTGTTGGTACATTAAAGAACAAACGTGGCTTTGCCAAGCTGTGCCGCACCCTCTTCCCAAACACAGGATGCTTGACTTTGTGTTTACTTCTCCAAACAGAAGGTGCACAAAAAAGGTCCCGCAGCACAGGCACGGACAGGTCAACCTTTAGACCCAGAACAGATCTGAAACAGCCTGATAAAGTGCTCGCTCTCTTTTTTTCCTCTCCCATTCATGGTCCACCCATCCTCATCTGCCTGTCACAGGTCTGTTTCTTTTTCTCTCTCTCCCCCGCTCAAACCCTGATCACGAGGCTTTGGACATACAAATGCTTTAATGTCAATGGTTGGCGCGGTAGTAGTGCAACATATGCAAGCTGTGGTGCTCCCACAGAGAAGCAGGTTCAGTTCCAGGCATGTCCTGATCACAGTACCCTTGTCTTTTCTTTCACCATCAGGACAATTAAAAGCAAAAAGTTCATGAAAATTCATGAAAATGATGGTTTTGAAATAAATGAATGTAAGACATATTATCTACCTCTACGTTTAAAACACATGACACAAAATGAAAAACTATTCCAATTGAGGGATTTGACTGAATTGTGAACAAATAGCTTACATCAGCAAAAAGGTTATTTCTGAGGTGGAGAAAATTACATTTTTTCTGAAAGACTGTGAAAAACTTGTTTCTTTATAAAAATGTAAATTAAGCATATTTAAATATTTATAAATAAAATAGACAGATTATGTCTATAATCACCATGAAATCAAAGTTGACAATTCTTATTGTTTATGGAATATTGCAGTGTGTATTATATGTGATTTATCCATGAACATCTTTTTTTCCATGAAATTCTTTTTTAAAATGAAAATAAATTCCCTCACTCATGATGAGATCGCAGCAATTAGCAAACAACAACAATCCAATAAATTCCTGAAGGACAAAATCAAGTTCCGTCCAACATTTTTTCTCATTTGAGGAATCATTTCTCTCAAATATATGTCACAATAAGGAGGAAAACATGACTGAACACGAACTTTTGTTTCATGCCGACTTAAATTGTTAAAAAACTGGGCGCTAACCTCTTTACAATAAGGTTCAATTCATTAACATTAATGCATTAAGTATCATATTATTTTATAGCATTTATTAGTCTAATGTTCATTTATAAAACTTGTTAAAATGTATATTTAAAAATGCAATTCTTAACAAGTGCTGTATAAAGTATTAGTTCATGATACCTATTGCATGTTAATAAATTGAACCGTATTATAAAGTGTGTTCATTTTCATCCGTACATCACCCTGCAGCAGAGCCTGGGACACTCAAGATCTTCCTCGGCACACGAGCGTCAACCTAACGCCGGCCCGGCTTGCGGACGGGAGGTTAACTCGGAGTGGCACGCGAGAGAGGCGAGAACAGAGCAGATGACAACATGATCCAGACTGACGCTGGCAGGCCCTTTTATTGCCTCGCCTCCAATCCAAAGTTAAAAATCTTTGAAAACCTAAGAAATTTTGTTGTCTTTTAAATAAAAGAGGCACAAAGCAGCAGCGGGGGGTTATTGTCTGACCCCCGTGGGGGGAGTCGCTGCAACAATTCGTATTCCATCTTTTGATGGCTGTGTGAGAGAAAACCGAAGGAGGGGGAGAGAGGGAGTGCGCGCGAGAGAAAAACATGTGCAGACGGACGAGAGCTTCTCGAGGGCTGCATCAAATTCCTGTGATCATACATAATACTCTTTAAAATGGTGTTTTTCTTCCTGTTCGTCACGTTCCATTCAGCTGATCAATTGTTTCTCCTTTTGACGGTGCCACCCTCCCTCTTTCAACCCCCCTCCCGTTATAGAGTCCCCTTCCCCTCGTCTGTCCTTCTGACACGAGAGAGAGGGAAAGAGAGCGATAGAGAGAGAGTAAGAGTGACAGCTTCTGTCAGAGGCAAGAGAAACAGTCCTGTCGCATTGATTTATGGAGGCAATGCACCACAACTTGTCCAAACTGAAGCCCCCAGTTCATTAATTAGCGAGCTGGGGGACTTTGAAGTAAGCATGTGAGAGCGTGTGTGTGTGTTTTATAACATTCGCCTTCATTTATATGCTCTCTCTCGAGTTATAGAATGAAGCTCTCGGTGGGGTGAAACTCTTGATTGTCTTTGAACTGCTTTTGACCGCGCAATAATCGCTTCTTTTGTCCAGAGCATTGCTTTATCCTGCTGTCATTAGAGCAGCCAGAAGCACAGCTGGTGATACAGCCTTAAAACGAAGGAAGACAGAGAAAGACAAAGAGGTAGAACACTTCAGGTATACTACAACTGTGCCATATTGCTGTCAACAGGGAAACCACACATACCCTTCAATCTGGTCATATTGTGTACACACATATAAATACACAGAGCGCTCATAAAAGGATCTATATGGATTCTGTGCACAGATTTCTTGTAGAATCGCAAATGTTTATTAAATATTTTGGCAAATAAGATACTTTTAAATTGATTTAATAAATTTTACTGTGACAAAACGGCACAGATTGTTCCACCAAATACATACTGAAATTTACTGTGACAAAACGGCACAGATTGTTCTACCAAATACATACTGAAAATGCAGAAATCCTGCCTGGGTCAACTCTAAAAATGTGTTCTAAACTAGTTCGTTTTTTTGGTCCATTAACACTTAACACAGAATGTGACAACAGTCCGTCAAAACATATACTCCTCTTCACAAAAGTTTGGGTCAGTGAGATTTTTTTCTCTCAAAAAATCTATACTTTTATACAGCAAGTGTGCAATAAACGGATACAGAAAAAGTATTTTAATATGACTATTTAAAAAAAATCTGTTCTTTTGAACTTCTTCAAAAAAAGTCACAGTTTACACAAAGATATTAAGCAGTTTCCAACTGTTTTCAACACTGACAATAAAAAAATATTTAATCACAGGAATACATTACATTTAAAATACATATAAATTGAAAATATATATTTTAAATTGTAATAGTATTTCATAATATCACTGCTTTTACTGTATTTCTTATTATTATTCTTGACAAATTAGATTATATTGGTGGGGCAACATCACAGAAATACATTTTATTTCACAACTGGTTAGCACAGAAAATCTTGAAAATTGAAAAAGATGTCAGCGTTTATTGCTGGTTATATTTTTATACACGTAGAAATAGATATGTAGAAATAGAAGAGCTGGAAAAGGTTCTTCCTATTGTCAAAGCTCAAAATAAGATGACACAGTGGCACTGGAATGATTTTGCTTTTGTACTTCTGCTGCTGGATGCACTGGGGGCAGGTAATGAACACCAGGGCTGAGCGTATGTGTAAAGTAATACAGTCAGCATACCTCTTTACTCTGCTGTTTGTTGCCATGCTGCTGCTGGATGAGCTGAAGGTGGAGTTGTTCTTGCTGTTTCTTGTAGAACTCCTGGAGTTGCTGCTGCAAAGTCACACAGAGTCATAAATTAAAGAAGCCTCCTCAGTTCTTCTGTTGTGCTTTATTTTTTCCCCCTAAAATCCAAGTATAATGTTACAAAACAGATTTTTACTTACTTAGATCCTTATAATTCTTGAATTATTTATTATTTATAAGACATTTAGCTACAGTACAGTGCATTACCTAAAATCTTGTATATTAATTATTTGTGGCATAATACTAGTACTTATAAGTTTATTTCTAAACCGCTTAGAATCAGAAAACATGTGCATGAGGAAGGAGTTTTGCACTGTGAACAGTCAGCGAGTTTGTCTACACGTCCCTCACTCGTGCTTCAAAACCACATAGAAAATTGTTCACAAATTTCCTGAGAATCAGGAAGAACATCTACATCAAGCATATTCAGAATGTGTGGAATTCTTTGAGGCATGTGTCACAGATTTACCATAGAATTGCTTCATTAGAATGTCTGAATTTTTTGTAATGCATACAAGACAAAAGATCCAATTTGTCGGTCATATAGACCGAGCAACAGTCAAAATATTAGAAAAAGAAAGATATACTGTTTGCTCGATGCAATGAAAAAGAAATTAACTAATTGTAGTGCATGTTTTTTACTATTAAATACTTTCATTAATAAATAATAGTTCTAGCTCTGATGATGGATGAGCAATTCTTGAAGACATTGAAAAATGGCTGAAATATGCACATCAATGTTGAGATGCTCTAGACGAGACTAACAGAGTATATTACCTGCTCTAATCATTTTTATTGTATTAACATTATTAATTATTATTAGCATTGCAAAACTATTAGTTTCCATAAGACCCACTGTGATTACTATTAGTAATAAATATGTTATTAATACCAGCAACATCTTTTATCATATTGCTGTTGACCCTACTTTAAAATCGATTATATATTATATTATGACTATAATATATTATATAGTGATATACTTTATTTCAAATAATTTATGCATTTATTTATTTTTTGAACTCTGACACACCCTTATGCTTATTATTTTATGATTTCATTTAAATTATTGTAATGTACATTATAATGTTTGCCAAAGCCTGAGTAATATTTGAGACATTCAGTGAGTGAGTGAAGTGACATGTGGCCAAGTATGGTGACCCATACTTGGAATTAGTGCTCTGCATTTAACCCATCCAAAGTGCACACACACAGCAGTGAACACACACACCCGGAGCAGTGGGCAGCCATTTTTGCTGCGGCGCCCGGGGAGCAGTTGGGGGTTCGGTGCCTTGCTCAAGGGCACCTCAGTCGTGGTATTGAAGGTGGAAGAGAGTGCTGTACATTCACTCCTCCCACCTACAATCCCTGCCGGTACGAGACTCGAACCCGCTACCTTTGGGTTACGAGTCCGACTCTCTAACCATTAGGCCACGATTTCCCCCTCAAACAGAAGGAATCAACAGTATATGGATTGAAACAGAATGAGAGCCAGTACCTGCTGTAACATCAGTGATTGTTGTTGCTGCAGTAACAGCTGGAGCTGCTGGGGGCTCAGAACTTGGTGTTGGAGGATTTGCTGCATCTGCTGAGGAGTTATGACCTGTGGTGTCATCATAGCAACAGAAAATGGGACCTACACAAACACGGGAAGAGGACAGACATATGAATACAATGACATCTGGATAAGCACAATACATACACTAAAGATAACATATCACATGCCCTATCAGTAGCCTGTCACCAGAAGAATGTGCCAAGAGATCAAGATCTGTTTCTCTAAAACCACCCGAGGAGCTTTCAGAAGCAGTGATACGAGAAGCCAAAGCTGCACTGACTGATGGGAGACTGACAGATACAAAGAGAAAACCCATAAACAAACACTCGAACAACCACAGATCGTCCCCATCATCAAACGTCCCACTCCACTGACAAGGCCACTGGCCATTATTCTGGAGTGCTGTCCGTGTTTTGCTTGTGAATGTGTGAATACGTTTTGTATTTTCATTTTTTTCCTGATTGTTGTCCCCCCTCTTCATCAGCGTGAAGCATCTTGTCCCTGCGATGCTTCACTAAAATGGGTCACAACTCTCCCGGTGTACCGTTTCGTTGTGTACATAAACTTAAAATCGCTGAATATCAATTGACACGAATCTAACCGTGTCAATGCATGATTCGCTGTGTTCGTTACTTCGTCAAATACAATTCAGGTGTACGGAAAAAAGGTCCCTCTCTAAAAAAAACATAAAAACACACGTTAAACGGCTCACAAACAAGCTCAAGCGGAATAAAAAGGGTGAGCATATTACGTCCGGAAAATGACGTGATGACATTGAGAGGGTCCTCGCGCTGTTGACAGGGGTCTTTAATTAGAAGAGAGGCTGCGTGAATACAGTACACGCATGTTTCTAAGTGTCAGCTTTTCTCTATGATACTCCGCGCCATTAAAATCTCCTTTGTGACATTGGGTGACAAACCACGTCTGTGCTGAACTTGATAGCGGCGGGCATTTGCAACTGTTAACATATCCCCAGTGTGTTTTAGCAAGCGTGTGCGAGATCGCAGCTGTATGTCTCACATCTGCTCCTGATTGGCCAGACATTAGGGCGACAGTCTCCCTTCACCAAGGTTACCCCAATTGCATCCGATTCAGAACTGCTGACACGCATTTGAATTTGTCCCATCTTGATGAATGTAACTGAGTCTGTTCTGTCTGAAAGGGGCGGGGTTTTAACCTCCACATTGTCTCCGCCTATTTCAGACCACGCTAAGTATAACAGTAAAAAAACAGAACACCTTCCTAAATACACTCAATGTCACAAAGACAGGGTTGAATGTGTTATAAACTCATCACCAAAATGGATATGTGGTGCTCGGATCAAAGTAAAACACACAAGCACGCACCCCAAACACACGGGTGTTACGTCTTAACATGCAGCCCATTTTTCACATGGCTTAGCGCACCATTTGCATAGGCTGCACCCCTTGATTTCTTCATTTCACAGTCATTATGCACTCATGTCCTTATTTCTCAAGCCACTCATTTTGATGAACTATTCTGAAGGTCAGAGAGACAGACGGGTGGGTGGTGAGACACACAGACACCAGACACGTGTGTAAATTTGGCAACGAAATACTTGCTAATTTGATCAATTTATACTTTGCAGTGTTACTTTACAATTGAGATACTATTATAGTTTTTATTAATATTTTAAAATAGTTTTTATTTTCTCTTCATTTTAATTGAATTCAAGATTAAGTAATTTTGTTGTGTTGTTGTTATTATTATTTAATGTCTTCATAGTTTTTGAAATTTAAAATTTGAAAGGGTAACTGATCTTTTTACTCTGATCTATTTAATTTGACTTAAATTAGATTAAAATTTTCAACGTAACATTTAAACACAAACATTATCTTTTTTGTACAATTTTCATAAATGTTTGAGAGATTTTTGGTTTTAAGTAAACTTACTTTTGAACTTTGGTTTTGAACTTTTTCCTAATTATAATGTACTAATAAAGACAAATTTACAACTTAAACAAACATTTCAATTTGCATTAAACTTTGTATTTATGCATTCATATTTCTACTACTATCTATAACTCTTAATTTTTTTTTTTAAATTACCATACATATTTACTAAAATACAAAACTTTTTACCTCGTTTTTTTTTCTTTAAACCAAGCAACATTTTTAAATAGATTTTATAACAGTTCCAACTACCAAATTAAGACTTTAAAACATATGACATAAATGCAAATGTTTTGTAAAATAAATAACAACTAAAATTTACTAACTTCTCAGGCCATGACAAATCACAACTCCAGCCTGTTCCAATTAAACCCTTTATATCCACACCTTACAGACACACTGACACCAGCTTCACACTCTCATTTACTGCATGAATGTGTGTATGTGTGCATGTGTATGTGTGTGTGTCCACTTCTACCAAACCTCAGCCCTAGCGGAAAGGCTATTACAGCTCACATTTTACTGCCCATTACCACTGAGGTCATTAGTGGAGAGAGGGATGGGCCTCTTCTTAACCTATTGATCATTGTAACTACTAGCATTTAATCCGCTGGTGAATGAGCTGGAATCTCTTTAAGACAGGCCTGCCGCAGAAGAGAAGCACTTCAGCTGAAAAATATCATCCTGGCCACTATATCAGCAGCACTTAAGAGGAGTGAGGGATCCCGCTTCTTACTGCTCAGAGCTGTTCGCTCTTCTCCTCTGGCCGTAATTGTGGAAGTGTGCGAAATGAAATTATTATTATGAATTGCAGTAAACGGCCATAATCGCTTGATAAGAGGAAAGAACAAATACATATTTCAAGTAGTCTCATGATGAAAGTGCTATGAGATAAAGCAGATATCTGGTTAAACGAGATACTAGGAATTTTATGAATGCATATTTCAGCTGTCATTTGGACAGTTTTAAATAGCACGAGACTCGTTTGCTCAGAAAAAGAATGAATAGTTAGGAGAGGAAGAAAGGGCACAAACTGGAGAAAGCTGACGGTTATGAATTTCACTAAGGAGAGGTGTAGGCCAGGTGTGAGTGTAGCACATTAGCACACACACAACACACACACACAGAAACTGTAACATACTCGAACAGCTGCTATGTGACTGTAGGCAATGTGCAAGAGCAGGCCTGCTGTCCACCAGCCCTACCCAAAACACACACACACATACACAGACACACACACACACACACACACACACACACAAAGAAACACAAATAGATAGAAAAAAAAAAATAGAAAGCTAGTGTTTTTTTGTTTTGTTTTTTTAAAAAAAAAAAAAAAAAAAAGATAAATATAGATAAAGTAGAATTAAGATCGAATATAAAGTGTTAAAGTTAGAGGGTCAATTAA